TTCCCGATCCTGCGCCAGAGTCTTAGCTCCGACAAAAGACAACTGGAGTCTGTAACAGACTCCTTCCATATTACTGCACCAGGTTAATCTTGGCCGTCCCCTGGGCCTTCTGCCGGTCGGATTCGCAAGAAATAGTTGCTTAGCCTTCCTTCCTGGAGTCATTTGCAACACACGCCCAAAGCATCGCAGCTGTGACTTCTCAATCTGGAGAAGCAAAAGCTGTATACCAAGGCTCTTCCGGATATCAGTGTTCCGAACCATGTCGAGAAGCGCAAGGCCAGCGACTCGTATAAGAAAGCCCATTTCAGCTGCTTGTACCCGGGTTCGAAGTTTTTCAGTCATGGTCCATGATCCATGACCGTAGGTAAGCATGGGGATAAAGATCGACTTGAACACGGAGAGCTCAGTTTTCAAACTGAGCTCTGTTTTCATCACAATGAATCGGGTTAGTTCATGCAGAACGCCACTGGCTACTCCAATTCGCCGGTTGATCTCTCCCTCTAACTTTCCATCACTAGTAAATAAAATTCTGAGGTATTTGAACTTCTCCACCTGCTCCACTGCCTTTCCGTTAATCTGAAAAGAACAAAGAGCAGGAGAAAGAGATAGCACTAGGCTTTTTGTTTTAGATGCGTTCACACGCATGCCGGTCACGTCGCATTCGGCTGCGAACCTTTCTAGGGAGCACTGAAGATGAGTTTCAGAAGACGTTAATAAAACAAGGTCATCTGCAAACAGCAACCTTTTCGTCTTCACATTTCCTACACCGATACACTCATCACCTTGTGCTGCTACGCTCCGACTGGCAGGGGGTGACGAGCAGGTTCTGACTGCTGACTTTTCGCAGTCCCCCAATAGTCGGCGTGGCCCTTGGTATGTAGAGCTTGTATGGTTTTCGATGACAGCAATACCATGAGGAGCAGGTGGCTAAGATTTACGGAGACTGCCACGGTCTCCAACCCTCCTTCTTTCTCAAGCGGAATTGGGATAGGCAAGGCGGAGTTCTTCACAACCCGTATAATTCATGGTACAATTCGATACATTCAACTTCACAATACTATTTAATTATAAAACTGTTCCACACCACCACTCATCGTAAGTTTAGACTGCTTTCTCATGAATTCTTAAATTCAATCAAAAATGAATCTTATTCAATCGTACAGCAGAGACTGTCCTTCATGAATGGAATAAAAATAGATCTACAGATCTGCACTTCAACAGGAAACAATTTTGCTGACACAGAAAACATCATTACATCAAAATGTGAAACGCTGATTTAAAGAGAAATCACGAATACCAAGCAGCCAGCGATTCGCAGAAAGATCACGCAGATCAAGATGATTACTACAAATTCTGGCCCACATCCAAAGCTACAGTGACATGCTCAGATTAAAGTGAAACCTCCCTAGGCATAAGAAGACTAAATAACATTAGGCGAAGTTCAATCAACATTAAGAGCGAGGAATTTCATGAAGGAAAACCCAAGCAGAATTAATGCAATCAATAATGGAACTCACGTTCTCAGCTGGAGTCCAGCTGGTCAACCGACCATTTCAGGCTTTGTGACAGTCATGGGAGGCGCCACTGAACTAAGGGGTGCAGCCTTAGCATATCTCCCTTCATTGAAGGAAACAACGGTTTAACTGTTCCTGATCTGGACAGGAAGTTAAACTTTAGAACTATTCGCGCAACGGCCTGAAGGGTTGCCGGCCTGCTGTGCTCTCTTAGCGCCGACACTATGACAATGCTGTGCGCAGTGATCCGCCGGGTTTGTTTTCGTTCTTCTTTGCACACTGACTAGTTCGGCCGGGTCACCGGTTCATCTGAACAACTCTGTTGCTGCAGGAAACACAACTGAAATAGCCACTGCATCGAAAGAAAGGACAAGACAAGAAAGTTGGCAATCGCTGCAATGTCAGTCTGTCTTACACTTTTATGATGGGGTCATCACTAGCGTTCTTTTATCAAGTTAATGGTGGAGCGCTGATCACAATTTTCATGCTATAAGTAAGAAGTGCCATACTTTAAAGGCAGAGTCGACAGCAGCCATGTGTCCGGCATGGTGTGTAGTCCCCTGTTTCCTTTGCATAAAGTGGTGCGAATTCATGAACCTCAGAAGGAATAAAGGCAAGTGACCCTCACAACGGATCGAAGCCAAAACCTCTCGGTTATGAGTCCGACAATCTATTGACTGTGAAACCCCGATCTGAAGCAATGTTTGGTAAATTCATTGTTCAAGGGAGTTCGTGAATAAAATAAAAACTGACCTCCAGCGGATTCAAACTCGGTACTTCCGAAGTTCAAAGTAGATCGCTTAGATACTGTGCCACAATGCTACCATAAATAATAGACTTCACCCACACTTGTTAACAGCGTCCCGTACCATTACAATAATCGTGACAATCAGTGATTAAATGACGCTTCAATGGAACAGAAAATTCTTCGTACAGCTCACAGTTCAAAGCGCATGAAAAGTATGGTCTGCAAACTACTGAATAAAGGCATATAGGGGATGGAAACTGAATATTTTGTTTTCATCTCCGTCTGCACGGTCACTGATTTGTAAATGGTTCAGATCATGAACATCAACTCATCGCTGGAAGAGTTGAACGTTATCCGACTTTCTTCAAATGTATGCTAGCAAACAAATCTGAACCTGAAAGATAAATGGCACCATACAGAACATAATACTTCGTTGAACAGCTACTCATTTTCCAAATGGCTCATTTATTGCAGATTTACTGAGATAACTTGGTGACACATTATGGCGAGTCTGTATATCCACTAACCACACTTTAACAATTCACTGAAAGAAGAATTTTGTCGCTTTCACATGCTTGAGATCGCTGTAGAAGCAAAAATGATATCTCCAAAATAAGTGGCTGAAAGCGGTCCAATTAATCTGTCTTGACCTTTTAAGTTCTGATGCTCGGAAGTTCCTTGCAGAGTGGCAAAGAAATATAAATTTTACTAGATAGTAGCACATCCTGCTGAATACTCATTTATGTTTTAACTTTTTGTCCATACACAGTCGCTCGATTACCACAAGAGCATCAAACGAGGATTCTTGCGAATGAAAGGGATGAGAATCAGTAAAAGGAAACTAATGAAGTCCGTAAATGTTTGACTGCCATTTCTTTCAGACGAACCATGATGCAATCATCGGTATCTGCACTTTTTTGACGCACTTTATCACGAAACGCTGATTGTACCACTCCTGACATTTAGTCAGGAATAGTACATTTGTAGATCTGCAGCTATGTAAGGTGTACAGGTTCCCATTTACTTGCCATACATGATAAGATTCAATCAATTAATACAATTCATACATTAAAACGAAAATCGAACGATCCTGTCAGGATGTGGACTTGTTGCGTGTCAATTGCGAGTTCGATCGACGCTCATTTAACTGAACTACTACGCATTTAAAATCACGAGAAAACCGACGTAAGTATACAAAAATTGTATTTAATTAAGCAGACTCACGTTTATCGTTGGCCTTACGTCTAAAAGAGGCTCGGTACCTTGTATGGTGATCTACAAAACAGGTGTAATGACAAGAAAACATCAAACGTGACTTACATTTCCTCGAATGCTCGGCTGTCGAACATTTTCGATCTTACCCACCTCCCATGTCAGCACATTCGTCACCGGGTCGTACGAATATTTGCCTTGCGTAGGTACCAGATTGCAGTTGATGACACATTTAGGCAGCATGATATCTACGGAGACGTCTTCAAGCTAAAACAAGCCATAAATCTTTTCGAAAAACATAGTACTAGTACCGTTTTGCCCATATTTTGCTTCGGTCCAACAGATACATCAAGTGAGCCACCTTGGTTCTGTTTGAAAGTGATGGAATGCCGCACAGTCGCAGGTATCGCTACCAAACTAAAGCAGCACATCGTCTACGTGCCTAACATAAACAATAGCCAAAAGTTAAAAGAACAGAATCTAATATAACTAATCCAGAGAATCTAAACACTGGCCCACCTCGACCCCCTCACACACACACACACACACACACACACACACACACACTTTACTAGAACTAAATCACTGGGTTTACAAACAGTTAACAAAGCTCACTGGGTTATCTATTAAAACTTTATCCTCATAATCAGAGCCAAATATGCTGCGCTTTAGTGACTAAGCACCGGCAAATCTGGCAAACTCGAAAGCCACTAATTTCATTATCATTTGATTCGGTGGCTCAGTCTACACATAAAACAGCTTATACAATCTTGTAATGAAGAAAGCGTTGCTTTACTTTGGTGGCAATATTTAGAAACTAAATTATCGATTATAGTCTGTATTCTCGGAAAATAATCGAAAGACGTTAACACTAAATCAGTCCATTTCATACAATCACTCAGTGAACCGACTACAATGAGCCGTAGTACTGTTTGCTTGTCAAGTCATTTGTTAATTTACACACGCTTTTTTAACTACTATAAAAGCAGGATTTTCTGGTGACCTCGCTCAAACAATAAACTTAAGTCGAACCGTGATTTCGTCTGAACTTGTGGTGTGACTGCCACGGCATGAGGCAGCCCAAGAACACGTTTTTCTGAGCTAAATTATGATGTTATATCACAAATTCTATTTTTCGCCCTGTATGTAAAAGACATTTTCCCGCGTGCTTTCGATCATCAACGGGTCAAATCTGTATCAAAGCAGTGTGTGGAATTCTGCCCCATTCTACGCAAACTTCCTTCAACAAAGTTTTACCCCTTTGGAAAATGAAAAAATGTAACTACTGGATACCGCTTCCCCTGTATACTTTCATGATGGGTGGTATTTGTAGCGTCTTTCTTTTATGGAGCTTACGATGCAGTGTCAATCTTTACTACCATGCTATCAGTCAGCAGTGCCATATTACGATGGCCGTATAAAACAGCTATTTTGGTTGTCAAAACTGAGTAATTTCCCGTTTCCTTTGAATAAAGTGATATTAACTTATTCACAAAGGAAGGATGAGAGGCGAGTGATTCCGCAGAGATTCTAATTCGAGACTACTTAGTTGAAAGTTTGGTACTCCAACGAAAAAGATACAATGACAATACAGTAGAACGCACTTCCCTCAGCCACGAAGGCAGAAGACTTGCGAAGCAAAACGAAACGGTGAAAACACGAATAAGACTTGTAGCCGTTTATTGCCAGGGGCAAACTAATGAGTTTAAGAATTGAATCGCAGCTGTTTAAAAGTTGGTTTCCAACACTTTTTCGAAATAGAGACCATTAATGGTACAGTTATCTCAGTAAGTGATACGGTACGGGCACAGATATCCATTTCGATGTCATCAGTCAAAGACGCATGTTAGTTCTACTGCAATAACAGAATCACAATGGCATCCACATTTCAAAAATGTGTCTGAGGGGAATCACGCATGCCTAGAGCTGCACAAAATTTATTTTAGTGTATTTTCCGATGCTTTACAGAAACGCAGCCCAACACTTTCACCTTTCGAAATTGATTACAGACAGAGCCCGTACATCTGATTTTTCGGCTGCCAGCTAACGGCGATCGACTGAATGAGCTAACAGAATTAAGTTAATGGACTAAGTCGAGAGACTACCAACATATGCCTTCATATCTAAAGGATATCTGTCTAGAGATGGACGCTCTGAGTGAAGATCTAGATTAAAGGAGAGAGAATTAACTTCATTTGTCATTAGAAAGACTAAAGACATAATTGTTACCTTTGAGAACCGATGTGGTAGGACATGAGACGAAAGTGACCATCAGGCGGAATGAAAGATAACAGCCGTTCATTCTATAAAAAATGGTCAAAGGAAGAAGACGGTGGGCGAACGTGAGCCCAAACCACATTCGCCATCGACAGGCACAAAAATACCTCCCAGCGCTTGAAACGAACGCATGGGTGAAAGCTGACATCATCAAATAACCGTGGATTCGTGAAACTTAATGTCAGATCTGGCATTCCACTGAGCTTCGTGAAACAATCAATCTAAAGATCAAACATAATATCAAACATGATAAATTGAAATGGGAACGTTCTAAGGCAATTTAACTGATTCGAACCCTAACGATCCCTCCTGACAATTGTAGAAAACTAGTGAATGAAATTTAAGAAACCAATGATCGACAAAGAAAGTCTCATAGAAATCATTTCTGTAAACACAGTAGCAACAATCGTCTTATGAAAACGTACAAATATGATCAAAGGCCAACGGCTTTGCATGGAAGCCTTCCAGAAAAATAATTTAACTTCCTTCCATGAGAAAGCAATGAAGACGACAAGGAAATATCACAAAAAGAAACGCACATATGCTTATCATAGGAGCACAGATATTGATGAAAACGAGAAGAACAAGCAACGATTCCGAAGCAAATCCAACCAAAACTGTGCGGCAAACGCTACTCGGAAAGTTGCAGAGGGCAGTTCTGCGGAATGCTATGCTGCAACTCGCTCTGAAGATATCGAATGAGCATCATTCACGACTAGAAAATTCTTGTCATTATTTGTTGCTAAATAAAGAATCATAAAGAATTGAAATTGCATTGTTGTTGGTCCAGACAGCTTAACCAACACTGAAGTATGTCTAAGCAACATTCTCAAGCATCAGGGAGCGCATGTTTCGAGGAATGAAAACGCACTCAAAGCTCTTCCCGACATTCAGCCAGAGCCAGCTCTCCCATGATCACTCCTCTTTCCTCCATTGCTTTGCGACAGTCTGACAAATCTTTTCGGCTCGACACCGTCGCAATCAATGCCCTGTCATCAGTGTACCTCAGATGCAAACAGGACAAGTAAACTTGATAAGTTGTGGTGCAGATGGAAAATGACAGAGGCAAGAGAACCCATCACTGAGGAAGACCGAGGTTGTTCGCAGGTACCCTCGATCAGTTCCTAGGCAGTTTAACGAAATGCGATCAGTATGAAAGGTACGCAGCAGGACACCTCAAAAGTATGAGTCGCAGTCGGACTGCCCTAGGATAGCTAGAAAACAGCACGGTGTTAAATGCTGATGAAAAATGAGGAACGCGTAATGCAAGATCTACTTGCTGCGCTACCATATGAATAAACAAAGCAATGGGTTGGTGATTCAACGTCATCGAAAGCTGAACTGGAGTGTCTACCGAGATTGCCATGACGCCACCATCGAAGGCATAAGTAACCGTTCAAAACGCCTGGCAGTGCTGGATATCACGGTCACGGGGTGAAAGCCTACCAGCTCTGAAGCACCCACTTTTGTTAGGAGCGGTGTTACACGGGAAGTTAGCTAACTTGTCGAAAGCTTAACCCATCGCAGGCAGACGTTGAAACTGTCCGCGAGAGCTAGTCCAGGTTCCACTGCACAACATTTTGGCACTGCGGTTCAAACTCCATTCAGACCTTCGGTAGTGACAATTTCAAATTCTTAAGCCAACGGATAGTTTGCACCGCCTTAAAGGCTGGGACGCTGTCTTATCGGTCGCACAAGTTACCAGAATACACCTGCACGATGAAGGCTGTTGCTGTTTTTCGTATAAGAGGATAAATGCATTGACGCGTCAGCGTTTGATCCTGACAAGCTTCGTCGCCGATATTCATTCATCTCTTTTAACGTCTGCCACATCTCTCGATGACACGTTGAAGTCAAGTTAGAGAAGCGGCATAGGCTTTGCCGACAGATCTCAACCCGGAGTTCTGAATATGCTGCTTTGTCCTTTCGCAAGAGGCCTGCTCTTTTCTTCTCTTAAGCAGCCGCAGTTTTTCTGAGGAGTGCCACCAGCCAGAGAAGATGTTCTTTTTAGGGCAGCAAACTTCCATCACAAATATGATGTAGGAAGCCGCATTCACTTCGATGTGAATATATCAGTAGAAATATAAATGTGTTTAGCAGCACCAAACAACTGAAACAGCACTGAATTTTCCCATGCTTATGCAAAACCACAATTATTTCATCGTGATGCTATGCCAGAGGCGTGTCTAAACAGGTGCAGTTTGCATTCACCCAGCTGGCATCCGATCAACTGACACGACTAGACATCAAATTTAAGAAAATTTAAGATAACAATGAAACTTGTTTGTTAAATTGTCCCACACCTAGTAAACCTGCACAAATGAAAAGAATGAACTTAAAATGCAAACAACAGAAAGTAAAGCATTTGTCACATTCACTTACGTAGCCCTGTATTTCAGCGAAAACCGTTGTTCCCGTCTTGTCGATGATTGCGTCGATTTCTTCTATGACATCAAAGTAAGCTTCGTTGCTCGTATATCTAACGCCCATTCTTCGCCATGGTATGTTCGACAACTGACCAATGGGTAGCGTTTCGCTGAGACTAAAAGAGAAATGAAAAAAATCACAAAAAAAAATAAATTAGCCGTTTACTTAGTTTTGCCAGTAACAGTGTTCGCAAGGGTACGGAAAAAATTTGACGGTTTAATCAACTCCTGAAGGATATTCGACTCGGTTGCCAGTGGGAAGCCGTTGTCAAGCATCTCATCCAGTAGCTACCAATTTGCAACACGTATTTAAACAAGAACAAGTACATGACGTCAAAGCCAAACCTCGTATATCGTAACATAATTTTCTTTGATGATTGAATCGGTACAATCTTCAAAGTAGTCCACAAACGTATCCACAACTCGGTGCAGAAATTCGATAACCAACAGAGGAGGAGCTAAGTTAATATGTGAAAAGTGACGGCTGCGATCCTAACTATATGGCAAAAAATAGCAATAACTATTCTGCTTTCAACAATATGTTGCACTTCAGTTTCTGTGTTGCAGAAAATGACGTGAACTTTCTGTACTGAAGCGTCTGTCTAGTTAGCTGCCTCTGCGAAACGGTGAGAACCTCTGCTAGGTGCCACTCAATTTAAAAGAAGTTTTCTAAG